AGAGGTCACTTATTTTAAGACCATGAGTCGGGGCTAGAACCCTCGACCTCCTGCACAACACAATCCGGCGCTCTAACCAATTGAGCTAACCAGGAGGCGGTTATACCCAACTTTGGGATTCTCATCCATGTAGTGTGAGGCTTTCCAGGTATTTAACAATTTTGTACCAGCCTTCTAAAACAATACCGTTCACATACCTCAAGGATTTAATTTGAATTTACTGTATATATTCCCCAACACATAATGGACAACTTGTGTTTTAGCAAATAAACTTTGAATTAGCTGCTACACCTTTCTTTGTAAACTAGTTATGAAAATTTGTTGTTAGGTCAAGATAGCAACTTATACCTGATTAGTTTGAGTATTCTCATTGCCTGGTTATTGAATAATATATGGATATTACAGGGAGAAATTACATGTTAATCACTTCTGGGCATTAAAGAGTTGAGGACAAAAAACTAACCAGTAAGGAGTTCCTATAAATGACTTTCTTTTCGTCATGGTCTCTGATATCCGTGCAGCAATACCAAAATCAGCTATTGACAAAAAAAAATTTTCTGTAAGCACAATATTTTAATAAAAATTACATCATTATGTGTAAGCCATGATACTGTATAACCAAAAATATCTATGTCAACTTACCTAACTTGATATTGCCTTGCGCTGTCAACAGGATGTTTGCACCCTGGAAAAAAAAAATTTACGATGAAACAAAAATATTGAATATTTAGTTTTTTGTAATGTGCCCTCTCTCCACAAAAAGCAAACAAACAAACATGCAAACAATGATAGTGATATCACTTTAAATTAATCAATTAGCAAGGGCTGGACCTTAAAAGTTTACGCCCTGTTATTTTTCATATATTATTAACTAAGTTTCTTAATCTCATATTCACCACAGTGTATGTACCTTAATATCGCGATGCATTAAGTTCTTCTCATGGAGGTAGGCAAGACCCTATGATACAGAGAGAAATATTTTTCTTAACCAAAGAAGCACAAGTGTGGTTTCCAAGATCAATTATTACCAAACAGACATAAAACAATATTCGTGGATGCAAACCCTTGCAGTTGACCCTTTAAAACCCTGAAGTCAGCATGCATATTCTCCATACTGTTCTCTACTCATTCTTATGGTACAAACAAAGAGAATTTGCTTTACAATCAAGAGCTTCTTCACTGGTGATCATTTCCTTTTAGTCTAACTTATAACCTTGACCCTATAACTCTCACAAGTGATCAACATGTAACTTCTCCCTGCAGTAACCATACATTATCTAGCAAGCAGGCTATGAGAATACTTTAACTTATCAGGAAGAAGTTGTCACCTTGATCTAACAACAAATTCTCATAACTAATTTACAAGAAAATGTGTAGTAGATCGTTAGAGTTGAGAATTACCAATCAGAACTCAGGAGTTAATGGGTAAATGTTTCATTCGAGAGTGACAATGTAAGGATTAAATGACTGAAGATACCAGTCTCTCTTGGAAGTTTCAGTGTTCAGGGGTGCTTCCCTCCAAGGCCTTGTGTGCATGACAAAAATAAATTGGAGAAACAACATACCTTCAGAGTTTCAACACTTATGAAAGAAATCTGAGGTTCACTACACGGTCCAGTAACTAAATGGAAAATGAAACAAATGAAAACTCTAAATAACTATTAACAGTTGCGATACAAGGGGGAGAGTGCAGGAAGTTTTGAACCCTCGCCAGAAATATTGTTTTTTTTTTGCTACTGGTTTGACACCAACATTCTTGCAACAACAGATTGTATGTATGTATTTTTACTGATATGTCGTATTGAAAACTTAGTTGTCTTAAACTATTTCTTACTTACTTGAGGTAAACGTATAAAAATTCACGATTATTACTAACCACAATAAATGTCCTGGGCAGATCCTGCTCCACAGAACTCCATTGCTATCCACAGTTTGTCTCTCCTGTTAACAGAAAAATTATAATAATGTTATAAAGTCATTTTGTAGAGTCCCATTGCATATCCTTGCTGCACATAATAATCACATGTGTACTTTCCAATTTGAAGAGACTCTAAGAGCAAAAGCTCTTGACCAAACTTCTTCCACCACTTTGTAAACCTGAATATCAGTACAAATTTGAATACATTTTTTCTGTTCAGGAAGTGGGAACTTTGATACTCTGAAAATGTGTTTGAGTCATCCATGAAAATAAAAGTTATTTTCAAATTGAGAGAACTGATCAGAATAAATTTCTTTACATACCTGAGATAGCTGCCTATGTACTGAATGATATTTGGATGCTGACAGTTTTGCATCATGGCAATTTCTTGCTGAATAAGTTCGAAATCATCACCTGGAAAAATTACAACAACAAATATTCATTTTCATGACTTTCAGGTGAAGTAATTAAGATGGTTTCAAAATGACAAGATTAGATTGACAATAGTCTGTCTTTTCCAGCTTAATGAGTAAGAATGGAGATTATAAAATAAATGCTGATTAGTTTAAAACTTCTGGCTGGACAGGAAAATATTTTGTCTCTTGAGCATGATGTGCAAACCCTGTGCTCAAACCAATTGTTTTCCTGTCCAGCTTTCACATTAAGTTTATGAGTACATAAAACCTATTACAAGAGGGAAACACAACAAAATTATTTTTCCCTGAACCTTCATCTGGCCCAGTTAGTCAGGTGTCTCCCTCAAGAGTTGCAATTATGAAACATCAAATGCACTAAAATGGAAGTTGCAACAAAACTACCAATACGTCACTTAAACAAAAATGGTGACACAATCTTAGAAATTTGTTTCTATATGATTCTTCTCATCTACTTCAACAATTTTGAAGTAAAAAACTAAAACTAAAATATTTAAACAAATAATTACAACCTCTTCCATCACTGGATGTTTCCCTTAATGTGAACGAGGATATTAGCCTTGAGTTTAGTAGCATGTATGGAATTACATTTGAAACTTTGCCTGAGACTTCGATGCAAAGATTAATCATGAAATCTAATTTTCAATAAAAAAAATATATGTAGAAATGTATGTAGAAATGTATATTGATATCAAAAATTTATATTGCCCTTATAAAGAGCTTTGCTATAATTTGAGTCCCACTCATAAGCTATATGCAATCCTCCATCGATCATAATCATCTTTTAATCCTTTTCTAGTGTAGCAATGAATTATGTTTGAAATAGTTACATGGTGGGTCACATCATTAATAAAACGCCATTATATAACTGGGATTTTAATTTCGAAGACAACATTTAATCCGCCTGTTTAAATAGTTCTAAATTATTAATGGTAACATTTAATGTTTTGTTTTTTTGCAAACGAGATGAAGATTAATATTGATTCCACAGTGGGTATGATGTGGAAAAATTTGCATCATAAAGCTCAGCAAGGCAAATTTACTCCAAACATAATAAGAAACAAGTCCATTTTATGATCTGTTGCAATAACGTGCAATCTGTAGGCACAATGCCATGATGAAAGAAACCGGTGAGGGCATCAAAAGATCAGTGAATTCGATGACATGACATTTGCTCGAAGTCGTAATTGTATACACACGCACACGCTATCATAAACCGAAATTAGCTAGGGATTTCTTGAGCATGTTTATTAAATTGCTATTAGTTAGAGGCCTGTTTTCAGACCCACCTTTGCACCCTTCTTAAGACTAGGAGCGCAGACATTACTTACGATAAAAGAGACATCTTGAAATTTCTTACCTGGTTCGACTTTTACAACTTTCACTGCAGCCAGATCCCCAGTGGAGATAACTCGGGCCTAGAAAGAGAGTTTTCAATGCGATCAGTGCAATTGTGCTACCGAACTTCACCCATGGCTGAAATATTGAAGACTAAGCAAATCAACCGTTTTAGAGAAAATAAATTGAGCGATTCCGAACCTTAAAAACGTCTCCATAAGTACCACCTCCAACTTTTTCGATCAAATCGAACACCTTCTCGGGATTTCCGCGAGAGATGTTGGCACGAAGCGGAACGCTCATGGTGTTTTGTTTGTCTAATGCTTCGCCAAGTTCACTGAAAACATCACGTCCACTCCTATATTGATTCACCAAGAGCGCTGAAAGCGGTTATACCATCGTCAAGTCTACAAGAATCGTGAATTCTACGGAAGAGAAGTGACGACTCGGTTGATCATATCCGCTTCACAAACCCACTAAATTCTTGCGGTATCACGAGTATTTCCGAGAACTCATCCGAGTAGTCATCGCTGGGAAACTTACGCCACGAGTAATTCACGACTATATATCGAATCTTATATTGTCACCACATATACAGGCTTGGCTACCAAGGCTTCAAAACCGCTAGCAAGACATTTTTTAAACTTCTCCACTCTAGATGTGTTTTGCAAGCAAAAGTGATATAATTTACCGCAGATTGATCTTATCTTCGTTTTTCTCGAAAGGATGGGGTGATGTAAAAGTCTATGAACGCCTGTTAGAAGCTCGCAAGACCGTGACTGATAGAGAAAAATGTCACAAACTGATTTCTTCAAGCTATCCTGTTGAATTGAACAAGTCATCGACTAAGGAATCATTTTACATCGCCGAGGGACACTTCACATCACCTCTAGCCAAGTATTTCCCAGATTTATTACCTAAAGAAAGTGAAAAAGCTCACTTTCAGGTCATTGTTCCCAGAAAATGGCCAAAAAATGGACAAAAACCGGCGTGTCTGCATCTCGCCGGAACTGGTGACCATTTCTTCTGGCGACGAAGAAACCTGATGGCGAAACCTTTGGCGAAGCAATATGGTATTGCGTCGTTGCTTTTAGAAAATCCATTTTATGGCATGAGGAAACCGAAAAATCAACTTCGATCCAGCCTCCTGCACGTCGTAGATTTGTTTGTCATGGGAGCAGCACTGATTTTAGAATCACTTGTTCTCCTGAAGTGGTGTGAAAGGCAAGGTTATGGTCCATTGGGAATTACAGGAATTTCCATGGGTGGACACATGGCATCACTTGCCTGCACTGCCTGGCCTAAACCACTGGCTATTGTACCTTGTCTTTCTTGGAGTACAGCATCTTGTGTCTTTACAGAGGTAGTTTGTAAAGAATTATGAAGAATTATTTGGATTATGTGTAGAGATTAGGGGGGCATTGGGGTCTATTGAAAACAACAAAACTGTAGACAAAATCATCCAAAACTGCAAAACTGCTAATAAGTTTGATGAAAACCGAAAACCATGTGCAAAACCATGCAGTGGTGGTAGATGGAGCATAGAAGAGAAACTGGAACCCAAAAAGGAAAAACTGAAAACCACATTGGATACCAAATCTGAAAATCCATCCGTACTTCTGACGAAAACTGCGATGAACACCAAAACCAAAACTGGATCTTTAAAAATAGCCAAAACCTCAAAACTGAAAAATCCCAATCCCCCCCTCTAGGTGATTGATTTTGCACATATGATTCCTTCATCTTTAAGCCTGGATTTCATTTGTGGTGAAAATCCTAGGCTATGTGCAAATTTGTTGTTTCCTGCTCGTCCCAGATCTTTTAACAACCAAAAATTGAAATCTTAGAGATCCCCAACTGGCTCAGATGGTAAGTGACAAATCAGGAAATTGGGAATGTTTTTATTTTCCTGTAGCTTTCCAGAATTCTGCCATCATTTTTGAAAACTTCAATTTTCATTGTCAGCTATGTCGGCCATAGACTAGACCAACACTCAGGGTCTTTAAATTAAATTGAGGAGAAATGCATGGTCAGACATTCTAGTCTTTTCAGTTCAGGACAACAAGCCACAGACCCTGTCTCTGCATCTTCCTTATACTGGTTAGTAGGAGATGCCATGCACATCTCTCAACAGTTGGGAATGTAGCTCCCAGTGTAGTGGTCTGGTCTTGTTTCTAAATTGGGGACATCTGCTGTATTGTAAACTGCTTAATTTGGTGTGGACAAATTCTCCTGCGAAGTGTTATGCAGGGTATTAGAGCATTCATATTATGGAGAATGCACTAATTGATGATCATCAATACTATCAAATGTAATAATAATAATAATAATAATAACTTAATATTTATATTGTGCAAATTAACATGTGGATATGATCAAATGCACATCACAGCACTTTTCGGAGGACTTTGGCCGGACTGCATCAGCAGTTTACAAACAATTGAAGGAAACTTACTGTATTTATTCATCTATAAGCCGAGCGATTTTTTCACAAATTTTACAAAATCTGGAAAATTTGTGCTAGAGAAGGGTTCTCGGCTTATAGCCGAATGCTTTTCCAAACATTTTTTCGAAACAGCAAATTCAAAGGAAACATAGATATATTCGTCTATAACCCGAGATATTTCATGCAGAAGTAAATAACAAAACAAGTTGAAGTTGGTCATTAAGTTTATTTAGGTGGTTGCTTCAAAAGGAATGGTTTGTTGTTTTCAGCGCGTAGTAAATACAACCTACTATTCGTCCTCAGTGTTGGCGTGGAATTCGTCGTCCATCTCCTCCTCATCCGCCAGTTCTGCCGTTTCCTCTGAGTAGATTTCTTCATCTTCCATGCTGTTTAGAGTATTTAAGATTCTGCAGGTTTTGAACTAGTGAATAGATCTTGCGGAAGTGATTTAAGAATTTCGAAACTGACCAATCAGAATTGCCCATTCCCACGACTGGTAAACAAACTCGTCTCATGTTACGGTGTTGAAATTTGCAATCACGTAAAAAGAAAACTTACCTTGGCTTCTCTGCTCTGTGAACCAGTAAAGAAATCTCTCATCCAGCCGCAGATATTTTGGAGTATAACAGCCCATCGTTGTGCATTTTGCTGACATCTCGAACTCTCCATTAAAGAGATTATCTTGATCTTTCCTTGAGCGACTCACCGATGACTTACTCTCTGGTTATCTTGGAATTGTTTTCGACGGCAATACTGCATTGAAACTCTGTTCTGTTTTGAAACTTTTGTGTTCATTTCAGTTTGTTCGAGAATGGAATTCTCTGAATATGGTCTCGGCTTTAGCCGAGTATTTTCAATTTACTTGTTTTAAGAACCTTCCCGATTAAAACAGATCGAAGTTTAGGGTCTCGGCTTATAGAAGAATAAATACGGTATTTGAAGATGCCCCCTCCCCCCCCAATTCCCAGTAAACAGGCCAGACCACATCACAGTAATCTGGTGAGTGGGTTCTTTAACGTCCCCTGCCTAACCAAATTAACTAATTAAAAGATGCAGGAGACGGGACATACGGTTTATTCGTCCTTATCCGAGAAGACTAGAATGTCTATCCATTTCTTGATATTATAGAAAGATAACGCATTCTCCTCAGTTATTCTAAGACCTCGAGTGTTGGTCCGGCCGGGGCTCGAACGATCGACCTCGACCTCCCACAAAACAGTCCAGCGCTCTAACCAGTTGAGCTAATGGGGAGATCACGGGTATAAAGGAAATAATAACCAATGTAAGATAATCCTGATTGTTACACAAATTCTCCTCATCAACATCTTAGGAAATGTATAGAGAACAGTACAGAGAATATAGATACTGAAAATAACTTTTTTTTGTCCTTGCTTTCTNCATATACGTTTCATAACCGCAGTTCATACATATGTTTCATATGTTTGTTGTTGTTTGATTTATCATCTACGGGTTTATGTCGAATTAATTTGATGGCCTGCTCCCAGTTGGCTTGTTAGCTCAATTGGTAGAGCGCTGCACTAGTATCGCAGAGGTCAGTGGTTCGAATCCCGTACAGGCCTGAAATTTTTTTCAGGTCTGATTTTCACTATTGCTCAAATAGTGCTTTACTGCGAAGGATCGTGCACATATACGTTTCATAACCGCAGTTCATACATATGTTTCATATGTTTGTTGTTGTTTGATTTATCATCTACGGGTTTATGTCGAATTAATTTGATGGCCTGCTCCCAGTTGGCTTGTTAGCTCAATTGGTAGAGCGCTGCACTAGTATCGCAGAGGTCAGTGGTTCGAATCCCGTACAGGCCTGAAATTTTTTTCAGGTCTGATTTTCACTATTGCTCAAATAGTGCTTTACTGCGAAGGATCGTGCACATATACGTTTCATAACCGCAGTTCATACATATGTTTCATATGTTTGTTGTTGTTTGATTTATCATCTACGGGTTTATGTCGAATTAATTTGATGGCCTGCTCCCAGTTGGCTTGTTAGCTCAATTGGTAGAGCGCTGCACTAGTATCGCAGAGGTCAGTGGTTCGAATCCCGTACAGGCCTGAAATTTTTTTCAGGTCTGATTTTCACTATTGCTCAAATAGTGCTTTACTGCGAAGGATCGTGCACATATACGTTTCATAACCGCAGTTCATACATATGTTTCATATGTTTGTTGTTGTTTGATTTATCATCTACGGGTTTATGTCGAATTAATTTGATGGCCTGCTCCCAGTTGGCTTGTTAGCTCAATTGGTAGAGCACTGCACTAGTATTGCAGAGGTCAGCGGTTCGAATCCCGTACAGGCCTGAAATTTTTTTCAGGTCTGATTTTCACTATTGCTCAAATAGTGCTTTACTGCGAAGGATCGTGCACATATACGTTTCATAACCGCAGTTCATACATATGTTTCATATATTTGTTGTTGTATAATCCTGATTGTTACACAAATTCTCCTCATCAACATCTTAGGAAATGTATAGAGAACAGTACAGAGAATATAGATACTGAAAATAACTTTTTTTGTCCTTGCTTTCTAGGGCGTGATGAGCCGGGCATGTTCTTGGAATACCCTAGAGAAACAGCTTTCAAATGAAGACTACAGGAATCGTTTGTTAGATTATGTCCCTCTTAGTGGAAACATGTTTACCAAATTTGATGATGATGATCTAACCAAGAGCTCCATAAATAATTATTCTGATATGAACTCTTTATCTCAATCTTTTCTGGAAAGGAAGAGGGAAAATCTGGATAAAAGTGGATTTCAAACACTTACCCTTAAACAAGAGGATATTTTCAATGGTTTGAAAACCAACATTTTTGAAAACTTGCCATCAGTGTTAAGAAATATCAAACTAACAGAAGGTTTACCAGCAAAACAGTCAACTTTAGATTTTATGAACTTCGTTATGGATGAAGAAACACATCTAAGGAATTTTCCTCCACCTGTTGATCCAAGCTTGGTTCATTTTGTGGTAGCAAAAAACGATGCTTACATACCACGTAGCAATCATTCAAGTCCATCTAACATCTGGCCTGGGTGTACTGTGGAATACATAAACAGTGGTCATGTTGGAGGAACACTAAACCATCAAGATGTATTCAGAAGAGTAATTTGGGACACTTTAGGAAAACTTTCATGATGATTTGTATTGTACCACAATTATGTTTTTTTCTATGCTCTTTGTTGGGTAAAACCATAGCTTAATTTAGTTTAACATAGTTTTCATAATGACCCTTTCATGCCCAAGGTCTTTTATGTAATTCTCCTTCTGTCTTCCATACAATTCTACTGATGTTAGTTTGGAGAACTTGATATCAGATCAACTAATATTCCACTTAGTGATATTTTTCTTTTATTTTCATCACTTGCTTGCATGATATTGTACAAGAAAAAAATTGTCTCGGTCATTTATACATGTAGGAGTTAAGAGTTCACTTACACAATTTGTGGTAGAGAAAGGTGATACATGGGACAGAAATTATAAATAGATTGATGACAATAATTATTTAACAATTTTACTCAGCAGTCACCAGGAAAAATATTTTATTTTGGGGCTGGCAAAAAAGGTGTTAAGTAGATCTGTATAATTTTTACAATATATGTGTTATCATAGATGTGGTTGAATTACAGATGGGACAGTTTTCTAGATTTTAGCATATTTATGGTCTTCATTTGAAAATATTTCAGTTTTGTGTGGTTAAGGTTCTTTTCCTTTTCTTTTGATGCATTGTAAGAAAGATGTTTCCTTAGGATAATAGCATGTTATTGATGACACTCAGATTAACATTTATTTAAATAAATAAATTAAGGTGTTTCTCGAAGAATTTTAATGTCTTAAACCACAATGCAAACTCTGGTATTTTTGAAGAGAGAAAACGTCTCTTTAAGATTGACTAGCATCTAATTTCTCCTTACAATATCACCCCTGAATCGCACATTAAGGTCAGGAGAATAAAGAAAATGATTACCACCTGAAGAAGCTCTTGATTGTTAAACAAATTCTCCTTGTCAGCACCTTAGGAAATGTTATAGAACAGTATAGAGAATTATCCTTTTGTGGTTCATAAATTTCTCTGGTTTAAATGCAGTTCTTTCCTTTATGAATTTTTTATTGTATTTTCTTGTAAGTTTTATGGAAAACCAGTTGTCCTACATGTTAGATAGGGAGCTTTTTCAGATTAACAGGGAAAAATTAATGCGAATTTCTGTTTCCTAAGTAAATTTTAGTTATCTTTTGTGCATGAAATAAAAATGAATTGGGATAAAGGCATCACTGATTCTTGAATATCCTGCAGATGATTTGTAATCTAACGCTATTATTACCATTTATGGGATAATTGAGCTAAATTGTTGAATGTTGTTTATGACACTAAAAGTACATTTGATACCTTGTATGTTTATTGAAAGCAAATTAGTCTGTTGCCCTTTCACCTTATTTGGTTATGTTAACCATTCCATAGAATCACTTAATTCAAAATCTTTCAGACAGTCATAAGATCAAAGATAACATCAAAAGTTATTTTGTCAAATGAATTTTCCTACATTATGTAAATTTTGTAGAACCTGATTTAAAAGTTTCAGAATGGACATTCAGTTTCAAACAGACACAATCATGTAAATCAGTGGTGAAAGAAAATGTAGACAGATTAGGGCAGGAAGCTTAGTTTGTATTTTTAGACAGATTTAATTAACTCAGCTGTCTTGTTATGCTTAGTGGAGCAAATCAAATGACGTTGCATCATCACTCAAACTTACTCAGTCATTTGTTTGTTTACATGTCTGGAAATCTTTTACAATTAAATCTCCAATCTTTACTTTTTCTTCTTACTTACATTTTCACGAAGCATCTTCATTGCACTGAATACTTGAAAGTTCTTAATCACCAAACATGGTCCTTAATTTTCTAGCCATGTCTGTTTGTAAATGTAATGTGTGGGACAGATATCTAGTGTGCACATTTTCACAAATTTGAGTTACTGTCAGAGGACAACAAAAATGAATGGTTTTTTTTAAAGCTATTGTTTTCTGTGGTATTTCAGTGAGATATTCTTGTTAAAAATTTAACAATAGCCTGAGATTAGAATCTATTAAGGCATATGGACATGATTTATAAATCTTGTCTATAATAATTAAAACACAAGCAGACTCTATGCTACAGGTTTCAAAATAACTTATAAAATATTCTGTGGTTTCAAGATTTTCAGGGATGTATCAAAAAAATTTGTGTTATCTTGACAAAATATTTGGTGAGAAAACAAGAAGTAAATGGTTGATAATGATTGTCACATATTATAAAACAAAAGTAGCTATTTGCAGTAAAAGTGAATGTTTCAGCTGATGATTTCTTTGACTGAAGACCTCCATTTTAACACAAACTTAAAATAAATTGAAGGTGTAATAAGTAGCTGTTGCTACTTATTTTTTCTTAATTATTCAAGTATTTATCTAAACCAGAAAGCAGAAGGAATTTATAAACCCCCTTTTTTCACAGATGTTTTTCTGCCTTTTTGCTAAAGAGGAAAAAAAAAAATTAGAAAAATGATGGGAACAGAAAAAATGATAAGCAGTTGACTAAGCAAGAAGATATTGGGAAATAATTTGGTGGAAACTGAAATCTGTACGAAGTTGCTTTTCCATTCCTTTTATGTAGAAAGCACAAAACCATTTAGAAAGTTTGGAATAGTATTTATTTTTAGGTCTTTACAAAATCTCCAGTGGTTACCTTGTGAAAAATTTTATCCAGGAATTCTTATAATGCAAATCACATGATGTTTTTGTGGAAAAAAAAACATAAAAATGACCACAAATGATCAAAATTTTCAAAATACTGCATGGCAAGGAATTTTATTCATTAACGGTGTAACTCCCAAAATCTGATCGCTAATTCTCCCCTTAAGCTGCCACGTATTTCCTCTGAATTAGTTGAGTGAGATCGAGATAACTTCTACCTGATGAGTTTGAGTATTCTCATTACTGTTTGCAGGATAAAGTATGGATAATGTAGGGAGAAGTTTCATTTTAATCACTGCTGGGAGTGATAACGGTTAATAAACAACTCATGAAGTATCAGAAGTTCTTTCTCTTGTGACACCTGCTATTTGTTTTTCTACACCCTGTAGGGATGCACACTGCCTTGCGAAATGAATTAAAATAAGAACTGGATAAGGTTTGAAAAGAAAATTCAATCGTAAATTAATTGTTAGAATTTAAAGCGCCGTACTTCGATGGATTATAAGAAATTTCCAATAAATGAAGAGAAGAAACTATTTCTTTGTTAAAAATTGCACTTGGATAGATTCCCCGCCGGAAGTGCTTTAACAGTGTAACGCCATGCCTTATATGGTAATGGTATCCCAATCTGGGGGCGGTGCTCATTCGCTCATGCAAGTCAAAAAACGAAACTCTTCTGCATTGCAGTGCGGAAAATTATCTCTAACTACCTCTCCAAATCATGGCAGACGAGAAACCTAATCTTGCGGAGGTCTCGGATTTTGATTCCTCCAAACTTAAACATGTGAAGACCGTGGAAAAGAATACTCTTCCATCCAGCGAAAGTAAGAAAGCGTTCTTTTATTACAGCTAGACGTCCCTTCTGCACCACCGAAGAATTTTGTAATAGTTCCTTCTTGAGGAAACAAACGATTTAACGCTAATATTTGAGCTGTTCTGTGAATGTCAAGAGCTTAGCTTAGTTCTAGAAGCATTATTTAGTAGATAGGTAGGCATATTTTTACACACTAAGGTTTTCGAAGCGACGAAAATTGGAGATTGCTATCGCCACGTATTGCTTCCTCGTGCTCAGAGTTATTCTTTGCAGAGGTTTCGGGTTTGCATTTTAATTTGGAACTACGAACGAACTTTCTGTCTAAAAATTTTCAATTATTTTGAATGTTCCAGCTGTGAAACAGGAGCTTCAGCCCGACGAGTTTCCAGATCGTTCAGAAGTGAAGAATTTCGACCAGTCAAAATTGAAGAAAGCCCACACTGAGGAAAAGAACCCACTCCCTTCGAAAGAGAGTATGTTGGTTTCTTGTTAAACACACAGGACTTTGCTCATTTCAGTGTCTGTTAATTTTTTAAAACCCCGAGTGAGCTAACCCAACGTTGTCATGTAAAATTTAAAGTGAGTATTAACGCCGTATTATTAAATCGCAGCAATCGCTGAGGAACAGCGCACTGCCCCGTTCTCTGGGGTGGAAGTTTTCAATAAGGATCTACTAAAACACGTGGAAACTACAGAAAAGAAACCTCCACTTCCAACACCCCAAGGTACTGACAACTTTTGTAAATTCCGGGCGTAAGGCCAGGTAAAAATACGTTTTTGCGCTCGAAGAATTATAAATATTAATTCACGTTATCGAAATTTTTATTGTGTTTGTTGCGTAGCTAGTTCGTTTTTTCGTTATCAGTAGAACGGAAACCTTCTCTATTTTTCGTCACGTACTTGCAAGGAAGACAATGAATTGTGTTTAAACTCATCTTGAATTGTTTTACGCTCGAAGTAGACTACGTGCGTTACAAATTTGCGTGTTGTTAATCATATGTTTATGAACCCTTCCCTCTGACGTACGCTTGTTTTGCATTTGAAAGTTAGGATTAATTGACCTAGGGTCGCTTTTTATTCTTCTAGTTTCGGAACACCGGAAATAGCGCACATGTCTGCTGACTCTGCTTTTTGTTTTCATGTTCGTATCGTAGCAGACGCTCAGTAAGTCAAAGAGTTATTATTAACAGCGGTGGCCTACTGTTTTCTTGCACGTAACCTCACAAAAGTTGCCCCGAGGCGTAGAATTAAACCTAAACCTAAAATTAGGTACATTGGCGAGTCGTTAAGTATTCTAAAACTGTACCAAAATTTTTCTTTTAACATTCAATCGTGTTGAGGCGTTGCGTGGTATTTTATTATTCAAAATCCTCCAGGCAACATAACTGCAATATTTATTACTTGTCCAATATATTTGTTTCGTTGCCCCCTTTGTAAATATTAATTTACATATGGCAGGTAACTTGATCCCAGACTAAGCCAAATTTCACTTCCAGAATTCCTAATTACCATACTTGAGATCTAACACTTTGATGATTGTTTCAATCATGATGAATGTTTTTGTATTTATTGTGGTTACTTGTTTTGAATTGACATTTGGAGTTAAAAACAGAAAATTTTACTCCCATATTTGGTCATAAGTAGGTTCTTCACTAACATTATTTTATCAAGATATCCTAGTTAAAAAATTCTGAATAATTTATTGCCTTGATGTGGTGAGACAATTAAACTTTTCTCCCACAGGAATAGATGTATTGTAATGCAAAGATTCCTGAAGTTGCTGTGTCATGTAATATATTTGTATTCATAAAAAAAGGAAATTCAAACTAAATGATATTGGAAATATTTAAAAAGAAATTTGAAAATTATGATGATTGTAGCTTACAACTTGGATGTAGTGGAATGAAAGCTAAAGATCATTTTCTGAGAGTAAGCAGTGGATGAAAAAAATTTTTGTTGAAAGTGTTTCAATACCTTTTAAGATTGCCATGACTGTTGGCTATAAATGAGTAAACCCTTAATCTCTTATCATCTCAACCCTCTGACCCCCGGGGGTGACCAAGATGTAATTTCTCCTTACAATATCAATATGATATCATGCAGTCAAGTGCTGAGAATAAAGAAAAAATATCAAGGAGAGAAATATGAAATGATCCAATAACAAATTCTCCAAAATACTTATTTAAGTATAATATGACAGACAGTGAGAGGAATTATTAATGAGATTTTTGGAGCAAAAGGTAAAACATGGAGCTTCTCCTGACATTATAAATACCCAATCCAGATGTTGAGAATATATTGACTCATCAGTTTGAGCGAGTAGGTCCCAAATTCTCTGAAGTAATTTTAAAGAAATGTCTTTGGCCTTTAAGAAACATATGAGCATTCTCAAATTTGACAACATCATTCAAGGTGAAGAGTGTCCGTGTATCCTCATGTGATAAGCTGATCTGAAAGAACTGTTGCCTTTTTATTACCAAGAGTTGGTTCATGTTTAGTTTTCACATTTTATATTGAGTCAAGGATCCACAAAGAAAGATTGGAGAGCACAAGAGAAGTGTTAGAGTTACTTAAGGTGCATAATAATAGCCCCGAACTCAGTGAGCACCTCTATGAAATTATAACAGCCACACTGAACTTTGAACATCACTGTTGGGTACATTCAGATATTACACATACTGAGGAGCTTCCAAATGTAATTTTTTTCGCTTTTTCTTAAGAGCTTCGTGAAGAGATGCGGCCTGAAAAACTCCCAGATGTTTCTGAGGTGGCAAAGTTTGATGCATCAAAACTGAAACATGTTGATACAAAGGAAAGCAATGTTCTCCCCACCAAAGAAGGTAAATGAACTGGAATGATGCAGGTATCTCCCTATACTATCAGAACTTCATTCATGCAGCACACTGGTGGAAATTAAGTGTGTATTGTTTTTTACTGTTGGGCAATGGTTTTTGTAAAGTGTAAATTTGGAGGTCACCATCATAACAAAATCAAGAGCCACAATGGTACTTTAGCAGTAGATTTGGGTTTTTTATAGGGTATGCTTTTCATTATCTACACATAATGGCTCTTACACTTAAAACAACAGTAGATAAGTTAATTCTACTAACCTCGCAATAAATGCTAGGAGTGGAGTTAAACTGAGATGCCAGGTATACCCCTGTCTGTGGAGATTGGGAAAAGAATAAATAAATAGGATCCTCCTAACCTGTTAACTCCCTTGAGTGACCAAGACAGAATTTCTCCTTGCAATGTCAATATAATAATGTGCAGATAAGTGACAAGATTATTAGTTGATCCAATACTGAATTCTCCAAACTAACATCATGAGAATTGTATAGGAGACAGTAAGGAGGATTGCTAATGAGATCATGGGAGTGAAAGGGTTAAGTGGTTAGCAGGGATTTCATTAGAAGCCAGCATCCGGCAAATTCCAGTGGCTACTCTCCACAACGGCCATTTCACCTTCCAGTTTTCGTGTGTTTTTAGGAAAACATTCAATATAATAATTCTAAAGGTGACTTTGTTGATATTTTGCCTCCTTTTTGGTTGTTGGGTGATTTTTGTGACAAGTTCTAACAGTTCAATCAACAGCACAATCAGTTCACTGTGTGCCATGTTGAGTGGATAGAAGAGAAAGACTGGTGACAAATCTGCCTTGATTAATGCTAAACTGTCTTCTGCCAACTTGTGTCCTAATATATGCCTACTTCTGCAATAATTGAAATCCCTGGGTTAGGAAACTTCTGAAATGGTCAAAACATGGATTATTAGAGAGAGAGAGAGTGAAATAGCAAATTGTGATGGTAAAATTTTTCTTCTGTAGTTATCGCAGAGGAATCTGTTGAATCAAGAGCTGAAGTGAAGAGTTTTGACAAAGGTGCTCTGAAACATGTGGAGACCGATGAAAAGAAGTATCTACCCACTGCGCAAGGTACATTTTACTTTATCAATTTTCTGGCATGTTGCAGTGAGTGGCACAACCTCATCACCCATTCTCTTCATTCTGAAATGAGTGATTTGAGAGCAAGCTCCTTACTGTAATTGCACAATCAGATTATTGATACCTTAAATTTCTAATGTTATGATTTCAGATCTCACTGCAGAGAGAATGCCCCCTCCATCCAAACGGCCAGACCGTTCAGAGGTGCTACAGTTTGACCAAAATAAGTTGCAACATGTGCCTATCACAGAAAAAGTTGTTCTGCCGACTCAACAAGGTATTTGTGATTTCATGATAGAACTAAGTCTTAAAGGGAAGCCTAAATTCATATGAGGAGTTTTGCCCTTAGGGTAGGGGTGTGAAAAACTGGGAAACAAGCTTTCAAATGACCTACTTCAGTTTGATGTCATTTATGATGATAATAATAATAATAATAATAATAATAATAATAATGATGATGATGTACAGTATTTATAGAGTGCTAATTCCCAATAGTCCAAAAGCACTTTACATGATAGAAATAACATAAGAAATATCCCACAAAATAAACCTACAACTACAAAATTACATCATCTTATAAAAACATAATTATTCTATACATTTATACTTTTATTTCCTTTCTCTTCAGACATTCATGACGAAACTGTAAGTTCCAGAGCAGAAGTTAAATCATTTGACAAGAGTCAATTGAAACATGTTGAAACCAAAGAGGATAATACATTACCTGGAGCAGGAGGTACGCACTGCTGTGTATTTCTCATAGCTTTAGCTCTAAGAATTTCATCATTTTCTAATCAGTAAATATTAGCCTGTTGATGTGTTGTTTCTCATCAGCCTTTTGGTTTAGAGTGTGGTGATAGTGCAAGGAGAAATTACTTACTAGTCACTCCTGGTTGTGAAAGATCTGATTGTTAATTCTCCACTCTAGCTGCTACACATTTTGTAGTAAACTCACCATCCCCCAGTTAGCTCCATTGGTTAGAGTGCCGGGTTGTGTTGTGTGGGAGGTCGAGGGTTTGTGCCCCGGCCGGACCAATACTCATGGTCTTAAAATAACCGAGAAGAATTTGCTATCTTTCTATGATATCAAGAAATGGATAGATATTCTAGTCTTCTCGGATAAGGACGAATAAACCGTAGTCCCCGTCTCCTGCAGGGCTAGGGGTAGGAAACGTTAATTTCCCAGGCAGGAGATTACTGTGGGATGGGTGGGTGTTATTATTTCACAGCACCCCATTTAAACTAGCAATTTGCTAAACTGGCCTACCCTGTATAAATATTCGTAAATACATATAACTTGGTGTTAGATCATGATAACAACTTCTACCAGATACAATTGAGTATTCTCCTAACCTGTTTGCTGGATGATGTTTGGAGATTCCAAGGAAGAGTTACTAGTTAATCACTTCAGAGAGTTAAGGGTTAAGTTCTGATTCTAGAATCTATTCACTCGAAGAAAATTAATTGGATCATCATTATCTTGTTACCATGCAGATATCCGAGCAGAGCTGATGCCTGATGTACTGCCTGATCGTTCAGAAGTAACAAAGTTTGATCAGTCAAAGCTTAAACATGTGAACACCACAGAGAAAGTACTGCTTCCATCACAAGATGGTGAGGCTGATATTTGTTACAGTGCAGCTAAGTTCACTCAAACAAAATTAATAAAAGTACATTTTAAGAAACAGAAAATTAGTGCAACTAAATTCAGTGTGTGTCATTTAGACGGCTCAGGACCAACTCAAGCTAAGATTATAAGAATGAATAAAGGCTGATAGTTTCGAAAGAAACTGTTTGGGGCTGCGTCGGTGGGAGTAACGAAATAATTTGGATATATCAACAAAGTTGAAATGGTAAATTGGCCACCGTAATGATTACAAAAGCTGACGTTTTGATCATTAGCCTTTCATCAGAGCGAATGGACGACGAAGGGCTAACGCCGACGAAGGGCTAACGCTCGAAACGTCAGCTTTTGTAATCATTACGGTGGCCAATTTACCATTTCAACTTTGTTGATATATCCTAAGATTATAAGAACTTAGTTGCAATTCATTAGTTGCATCCTGGGAGTGGTTTGGTGAGATTTGGCTTAGTGGATCCAGCCAGTCTTTTCCCTTTGAAATCTTGGGAAGAAGAGGGTTGAAAGTGAAATTTGGAGTCCTGGAAAAATCAATCTGACTCGTGGAAAAGTCCTTGAAATTTGTTTCAGAAAATAGGTACAGACCTCTCAGAAATTGGTAAAGAGAATTCTTGCTGTTTCATCTTTTCATATGACTCGGCATAATTATTTTGTTTTCTTAGACATCAAGGTGGAAACGATTGAGTCACGAGCAGAAGTTAAGACTTTTGATCACAGCAAGCTCAAGCACGTAGAGACAAATGAAAAAGTAACATTACCAGGAGTTGGAGGTTAGTTTGGTTGTTAATTTTGATTGCCAGATGTAAAGATGCGTCGGGCTTGACACTAACTTTTCAACTTACTAGCCAAGTGACAACTTAGATGTTATGACAATTTCAGTTTGTTTACTAACCAAACTGGCTCGCCAGTGGAAATCAAAAACCACTTGCCAAAACTGAATTTCTACTTGTCTGCACCATTAGTGTTGAGCCCTGATGCACATTACTTAATTTATTGTTTCTTCTGTTCACTTTTTAGACATTGTGGCAGAATTGAGGCCAAACGAACTTCCCGACCGCTCGGCTGTGGCATCGTTTGATCAGTCCAAACTGAAACATGTCGAGACCCAGCAGAAGGAAGTTTTACCGACAAAATCAGGTGCCGTAACAGTTTGAACCCTTTACATCCTATCATGTGATCAGTATGCAAGTTCTATATAATACTGTTTTTATGCAATTTTAATGGCACTTGCTAGGACAGAGCTTGATATCAGGTGCATTTGTGAATAAAGATTTCACTTTTGTGACTAAAATTTTTCTATTGGTAGCGATTTTGCAACACTTTTACAGCCTACCTTATAAATAAATTATATTTAACAGCCTTGTGTCCTACTTGTTACTGGTTGCTGTAGTTTTATGCAAGAAATCCTGCGAAATTCAAGTTAAATGTTGTGACTTTTATCATTGATTTCTTGCTGAGAAACCTATTGTCGGGGCACTTTTTCAGAAACTAGGTTGTGCAACACTCATGAAATTTCTAGGACATCTTCATTTGTAATTTCCAGTTCCAGTAAAGGTTGTTTAGTTTTGTGATTAAAATTTTCCAACTTGCGATTAAATTTAAGGAATTTCTCGCAAATTGAGATCGAGAATTTTTTTTTGAATTTCAAGCCCTGAAGGAGAATTTCTCTAACACTCAAGAGCTTCTTGAGTTGGAAATCATTTACTGTATTATTTTGATTTTTAATGTTTGATTCAGGGGTGGTACTGTCTGGAGGAATTAGATGCGTGTCACTGCCAAGCAGAAAAGGGTTAAGATCAGCTGTACGTTGCCACAAAAATTTCTCATGCCGCTAAGGAAATGAATTTTTTATCTCCATGGCTGTTCTTTTGTAACTTCTTTTATTTTTCATTTGTCAGTAATCGAAGAAGAGAAGACCAACTCCAGAGCTGAAGTTAAATCATTTGACAAGTCGAAACTGAAGCATGTTGAAACAGAAGAGAAAAACCCAACGCCCACTGCACAAACGTTGAGAGAGGAATTGATCCCAGACAAGTTACCTGACAAAGCAGCAGAGTTAAAGGAAATTGAAGGATTTGATGTGTCAAAGAAACTGAAACATGTTGAAACTCAGGACAAGACCCATCTTCCTACCAAGGAAGGTATGTGTACAGTATTTTTTGACAGCATGGGGGAAGTTGTAAGTACAGTATATGAAAGTACCGTAACAGATGTTAAGGGAACAGGGGGGTAAGTTTTTAAAGAAACTGTAGTGTTGCATTTGTGGGGGGTATTACAAGATAAAAATAAAGGTTAAGTCTGTTTACGAGCCAATGGCCCATCGGGCTGGCGCTTAACTACGGTTTCTGTAGCATGAAGCGACTAGGAGTACTTCTACTCCCCCTGGATGGGATGCTAGTCCATCGCAGGGTTACCCCCCAGCATTAAATTTGTCAGTACCCATTTATACACCTGGGTGAAGATAGGAACTGTGAGAGTAAAGTGTCTTGCCTAAGAACACAGCACAATGTCCCAGCCATGGCTCGAACCCGGACCATGCGATCTGGGGTCAAGCGCACCAAACATGAAGTCACTGTGCCCCCACTATTACAAGATACTTGATTAAATAAATTGGCTATCTTAAAGAGTTTCTTAAGCTGGTGTTTTGAGTGTTGAAATCTGGAATTACATTGGATTTGCTTTGGCTTTTGTTGTTGATTGGTCTTGAAAACCAGCATCTGTTTCTCAACAGACCAGAATCGGTCTAAAACCAACTTCAAGAAGGTAATCCACATTGTCTATCACTTCCAACACTGCTACTTTGCCCTGGTCGCAGAAGTGTTTCTTCGTCTTCCATACTACTTCTTTGGCTGCGAAAAACTGGGGAAAGTAGTTTAAATTACACCCTAACATCAGTATGCATAATTTATTACACAACTCGGGCAGTCAGAGGGCCAATAACTAAAATCATCCAATCAAAATGCTCTATTGCCGGTCAATATTCTCTAAGTATTGGACCAGGCACTGTCCCGAATGGTCCCGAATGACACTGCTCTTATGTCCCTCTGAACTTCAGTTGTATAATAAATCTCTTATTCACAAAGCTTGCTTGGGACCGTACTGGAAGAATATCGGCCCTTGGTCCATACTGTCAAGACCTCGGGCCGATATTCTCCCAGTACGGCCCTCGCGCTTGGTTAATAAGATATATATATTCTCCGTACTGTTCTCATTACGCATCCTATGGTGCTGTCAGGGAGAATGTGTTCAACATTCGAGAGCTTTTTTAGTTGGTGATCATTTCCTTTATTCTTGTGACCTTAATGTTTTATTCAGGGGGGATATTGTAAGGAGAAATTAGGTGTTAGTCACTGGCCTTGAGAGGTTAAAGTGTTAAATTGTCTTCCAGGGTTAATTTGTTTAGTGATAAAAGCAATTCTGTCAATTTTCTAACAGAGATCAACGAAGAAGCAACCGAGACAAGAGCTGAAGTGAAAACCTTTGACCAGTCTAAGCTGAAGCACGTCGAACCTCAGGAGAAAAATACACTTCCTAAACAATCAGGCAAGTGTGCTTTGTTCTGAGAGAGGAAACGATTTGATTGACAGATGCCAATAAACTGATCATCATTTTGAATTTTAAATCAAGGCGGTATTGTTACCAAATCACTCTGAAGCTTCTTGATCACATGTTTGAACTTCTCTGTGAAAATAAAACTGTGCTGTCCTAGGGAAGCTTTTGCGAGTGAGAGCACTAATTAAGCACAGGTTACTTCAAGAAAATGTTGAACGCATTTATTATAGGATATTTAAGCAGTTGTAAAAGCACTGAGCACTCAGTTGATTGTGCTGAAGTGGTAAAATTGTGAACTTTTGCATGAGTTTAGATGTCAGTGATTATTCTGCACTCAGATTCATACAGTGAGGCAAGAGGTAGCTACATGGTGACAACTTACACCGTGTGGTAGCTCAAGAATAGCAAAAGAACAGCATTAGCTCAGGCAGATGAAACCAGTTTGTAGTATTCACATGTTTTTGTTGTTGGTCTTTGAGAGAAAAGTGTGTTGTTGCTGGATTGTTGGAGTTTGATGCACAGATTTGGGAAGAGTAACTAAAAGTTCCCAGGAAAAATTTAGTGTCTAGCTTTTGCTATCACATCAAATTTGAATCCTCTGGTCAAGAATTGGATGAAAATGTCTCACATGCTGGTATGAGTGTGAACTAGTTACTGTTATTGCAATTGTGTCAATTATTATTAAATGCTCTCTACAGATTGGAGTAAATTTCTAAGAGGGAAATAATTTTGAAACTCCTAAAGTTCTATATTTTGGATTACAGGTTACATTTATTAAAATGAACAGATTATTTTAAATGGGAAAGGAACTTATTTTATATTTAAAAAAATTAAATTAAAGACTTTCTAAGATTTATAAAAAGTTGATTAATATAATTGAATAAATGGCGGTTATTATCCGAAAAGGTTATTGATATGCATGTTTGTAAACGGAATTCCCTCGTAAAATAAAGTTGCTCGATTGTTGAGTCCGACATGTGTCAGCGTGTTTTCTTGTGATGTAGCCAGTTTAGTGAGAAATCTCTAGTTTAGCTAGCCTACCTTCTTCTGGGAGAGACTCCATCGTCATAGAAAACTTCTAACGCTATAGCAGAGATTTTGGCTTTGTGTTGTAATTTTTTTAGATATGACTTATCTCTCATTGAACAAAAATTCGAATAGAAAATCAAGTTCTCCATGGTTTCCCACTCTCCTTTCTTTTTTTCCTTTCTATTCTCTTCTCTTCCATTTTCCCTCGCTTCCTTATGTTGAATTTAACGAGCAAGCAGTCTCTGTTAACAAACATTTGTTGAGTGTTTCCGAAGTACTACGACGAAAAAAACGATCACTGCGGGTTCACTGAATTCTCGTATTACGATCCTGACACGAACGGTCACGACTTTGCATGCTACGATCACGTGCCTCTTACGTCAACCAAGACCATGAAGCTTTAACTTCGGTTCTAAAACGCAGTGTTGTTATCAATAATACTTATTTTAATGATAAATACGCTGATAGTGGTCTTGTATGAATTTTAATTAGACATTCAAGAGGAGAAAGCAGCTTCCTGAAGAGTGATCCTCAGTAATTCGTACCCAGTGCACCGTAGCTGGACTATGTTCACGGTCAAAGCGGAACACTATGGACAATTCAATTACAGGAACTTTTCTAGCTCACCCTTTTATAGTGGAAATTCTGATATATTCTGCATAATATCTTGGTCTCGGTTTATATATGCGCTAATTAGTGAAGACTTTTGTATAACAGAGACATTTTCCAAGGAGATAAATAAATTTGTAAGTCAGAGTAGCTTCAATTATGATTAAATTGTTACGAGGTAAAGCTTTACTGACTCGTCTGTATCCTGCTCTTTAGATTTAGAGCAAGCTTCCATCGATTGTCAAAAGTAATTCGAGATGGCATTGGTTTCAACCAATCAGATACAAAACTAAAACCAATCACGACTTGGGTCACCCGCGTTTTCCCGCGGTTTAGGCACTTTGCTCGGTTCTGCTGTTAGTTGTCATTGGTTCTTAAAGACATTTTTCTTTCTTCTGATTTGTCGTTATAATAACTTTTCCTACCCCAAAGACTTTTCCACCCCAAAATTTCTAACAGTTGGTCAGCATCAACGTTATGATTTGAGAATGTCAGAACGTGAACTGCTGTATTCTGCATTTCTAATGAAGCCCAGGCCTAACCTGAGCAAGAATATGAAGAACCAGGCTGTTTTGAAAACATATGACGTTACTGAGAGACAGTTTTAAAGTCAGTAGCTTGATACAGACTTTATTTCATTATGGCTATGCGCCGCTCGACAACTTTGTTACCTCAGAATTTTTACCATAACTATTGTGTTCCCCATGACATTTGGCCAGAATACAGCGTTCAGGGTTGCTAGCTAATAACTGGACTTTACTTTTTTAAAACGCGCATTACATTACTTTTGGAACTCCTAGTTTCTAGAAAATACCGTGTCGTACTCAATTGTCAGCCCATACTGACATGAAAATCGATCCAGTGAACAAACTTTGACACCCGAGTGTAGACGCTGTATTTGCCAATTCTACCGCAACCATCTCCCCAGGATATGACGCCTGCGAGTACCCAACGTTGATCATCATCGCTAGCAGATTGACCATTATCGATGGCTAGCGGTCCACCCGAGTCTCCCGCGCACGCGTCACCAAGTGTGCCATTATAATAACCTGCGCAGAACATATTCGATGTGACAGTATGTTTCTTGTGTGCTGCCTGGCACAAAACTTGGTCCACTATTGGTACTTTGACTTGGTGCATTCTTCTAAGGACCTCGCGACCGGTTTCCCTCTTTCGGCCCCAACCTGTAATGACCCCAATGTTGCCAGTCTTAAGCAACTCGCTATCATCGTCTATACTCGGCAGAGGAAGGTAGATAGGTCTGACGTAATCAGTGAAAATGACGTCCGTTTTAAGGTGAATAAGAGCGATATCTGCATCGTAGTCGGCACGGCCACTATCGTAGTGATGGTGAAATACGATCCTGTCCGGACTAATGATCTGTTCTCTGGATGGTTCAGCTTTTTTAGAGTACAATTTACCGAGGCGTACCTCAATATCACTAGGTAATAGACCTGTGGAAGATGAAGTCCTCAAGCTTTAACTGCCAGGAGTGACCAGGTAAAAATTTCTCCTTGCAAGTAAAACGGACATGAGAAGAAAGGAATACACAAATTTGGGGATACTGTTTGATTTGATTCTCGAAGGCAAAGTAATAAGCAATGTATGGAGTACAGTACAAAAAGTTAATATTTTGATCTTGGGAGTAAAAATGCTAAATGATACAACTGATTACATAGGTCAACCAGCCAGAGTGGATTTACATACTCTAATTTGTCACAGGTGTAACATCGATTTTGTATGATTAGTATGTGTAATCAAATGGCAACGAGTGAAAACCATTTGATTACCTTTTAAATATCGTGGGTGACAAATTAAGTCTTGTTTACAGACGGAGGCGTAAAATCGCTCGAGTACTTTATCCAACTGCTCGGGAAAAAACATCTCCAGGTTTTCCTCAAGGCTATTTTCGTCACACCACTTCTCAAAAACTCGCACCTAGATAATTGTGCTCTTTCGCGTATTTAAATTTTCGGCCGCTTCTTTTAATTTCGTAACTTCAAGGGTCACCGTGTTAAATCTCGACGCCATCTTGGCTCTGATCGAGATACAAGAGATGTTACCATGGCAATTTTGTAATTTCAGGTGTGAAATTTAAAATTAACCCTGAAATTTCGCGCCAAAATTAAAGAGTAATTTGTCACCTATGATATTTTCGCTTAAATTTATCTAATTTCTCCTTACAGTTGTACCAGTAAATCAAGAATGAAGGCCATGAGATTATAGGAAATAAGCGATGAATATGGTAGCTTTTGATTAATTCTCCTTTAGAGTACCATGGGAAATGCATATATATGCACACTGATTTAAGTGTTTTAAGGGTTAGGGAGTATTCCTGTTTCTGCAATTACTTTCAGTCAGTTTTGCTTGCAGTTGATTTTCCATTTTTAACCTTGCCGTCAGTCTTTCTTTGCTATCAGAAACAGCTTAGAATTTCTCAGGATTTCGAGGTGCCACGAGTTAAACGTTATTGTTACTTCTAAAAAAATGTACCAGCAGATGCATCATAGCTTTGTTCTCCCCAGCACAACACCATTTCAAAACTGTTCGAAGACTTTCAGCTTTTCAAAATTATCACACAACCTTTCACAAGGGTCAATGGGAGTCTAATCCCTCGGCCTCACTCCTGCCTCGTTTTCCGTGCAGGGTCTGGGTTTTTTTGGTGGGAAAAGCACTCTCGGATGTGTCATCGCGGAACTCAAAACAAAATTTAAGTCAAACCGAGCTGATGCAGACAGACTGAGATTTGATTATTGGTTAAAGGCAACCTCGATCCTTATATCCGAAAGCGCATGCGTAAAATACCTCTTACTCTTACCACCAAGAGTGAGACAGTGAGCAGCAGTGACAATCCATCTCTCAGACACAAGTGATCCTCCACAGAAGTGTTTGTTAGCCTTCTTGTTCCACAGACTCACTTGCCAGGGATTGTGACCTGCTTCCACCTTCGTACCGCCCACGATTCTCCCACGTCTCGTTAGGGTTGGCTTACCACAATCTAAAATACACAACAAACACAGTGAAATAAAACAAACAACGTTGCGTCATTTTGACTTCTCTTCAGTAAAAGAGCAAGACTGAATGGAAAAGATTTATTGTTAAACCTCGCGTTTCCATGACTCCTGGTACTACACAAATCTGCCGTTATCAAGGTAAACCGATGCATGACGCAAAACAAATTCGAATCTACAAAGATAAGTAAGAGGAATTTCAATCACGAAAAAATTCCTCTCTCTCAGCCAAAGAAGAAGCTGAAATATTTGCATGTATATTTAAATGTCGATTTACGCGATTTTTATCACGTGTCCGGCGAAGTTTGCCTCAAGTATAAAATAATGATAAATGGCAGCTTAAAATTTAAAACCCATGCACAACAATAATTTTTCTGCTTTGGTCGTCTTGTGATGAGACTAACCTGAGTCCAGCGCTCGCAACACCGTCAGATATGCGCGAGCCAGTTTGGTGCCTGCTTCGTTCGTTGCATTACAGACATACCAGCCTTCGTCCTCGTGAGTAACGAACACAATCAACAGATTACCACTTGACAAGACAGCAAAAGTACTTTTGTGCACGACTTTGTCATCTTTGTACCACGTGATTTTTGTATCAGAGGTTGAGGCCGAACACAGTAGAGTGGCGCTTTTTGTTTCTTTAATAGTCTCGTTGCTCGGCACTTGCCAAAATCGTGGCGGAGCTGAGAAAAATAAAGATTTTTATCTTTTATTCTTTTTATTATTTTTATTATTCTAGGTATTATACACAAATGCCCGGTGGAACCGAATCCTGTGATCCGATTGGCTACTCGACTTTAGTTTGCCTCCGGGATTGCCCGCTTTGATTCCGCAGAAAAAATTCTGGTACATGTTCTTTTAGCCGGACTGAATAATTTGCAACTTTTGGGATCTCTCCTTTGTTACGAAGACAACGTTTTCTGTCAGTTTTTTACTGGATTGAAATCACGTCGTGTCGAGTTTTATAAAAACTTTTTTTAAACTATTTGGTCAAACTTTTTGGGATATATTGATTCCTTCATCGACTGAGTTTGTTTGGCAACCATGTTCTGCGCTGGCCATCACGATGAAGACACTCGGTGATGCACGCCAATGAGACTCAGTGGACGCTACCTATCGAGGTCGATTGACCTCAGCCATCTATCGTTGGTAACTGATTTAGCTCACCCTTCGCCACTTCTTCCCCAACTTCTAAAAAAGTACGAACAAACTCCTGTAATTAAAACAGGTCTACTTACTGAGACATTTGGGGGCCTTTCCACTCCATTTACCGTCGGCCAAACACGTACGAGTCACGGGACCACGAATCTCATACTGAGGAAAACACGTGTAACGTATCATAGCGCCTTGTGGGTAATCATCGC